GATGGCAGCGTAAGTCACTGAATCATCATGATCCTGAAAGAACAGTATAGAGTTTCTCCGTCAGTGTTTGAACCACGGCCACATGTTGATAAAGCTTCATTTATCTGCTGTGGTTTTCTCTGAATAGGACCGAACAGCAGTCAGTGATGAAGAACAAGGGAATGAGCTGCTATCTACTCACTTTGAGCGATTTTACTGGAAGAGAGACTAAAGAGTAAGTCACATCATCTGTCTGCTCCTAAACATCAGTGCAAACGTTTAACACACAGAACAGACATATCTCTCACTGTAATGTGTGAAATAATAAAGAAGCTTTTAGCAAATTACATTTTAGAACTGAATGGTTTATTTGACTCACATGGTCTCTCGCAGCAGCAGGAGTGGACATGTTGATCATCTCATACTCTCCTTTATCTTCATTCTCATCTATGACCTGCAGAAAACAAAGAAATAAATCTGCATGATTCACACTTTATTGAGCTTTAAAGACAGAAATCAAATCTAAATCACTGGCATTACTGAACTCACCGCCGATTCATCAGTTCCTCTTTTATTATCTGAAAAAAATTAAAATCAATCAATCCTCATGTAATATGAGTATTTATGATGAAACACACATGCAAAACACAGAATGTTAACAATGATAATAATGTTAAGATTTCACAAGAGACGAGATTTTGTTGAATCATTAAAATGAAAGATAGAAATTATAAACTTCTGTTTGAGAATCTCATAATCCACATGTTTCTATTACTGAACTCACCACCGATTCATCAGTCCCTCTTTTATTATCTGAAAACAATGTGCCTCATGAAATATGAATATTTAAGATAAGACACACATGAAAAACACTTCATTTTAACAATGCTAACGATGCTCAGATTTCACAAGAAGCAAGATTTGGTAGAATCTTTAAAATGAATGATAGAAATGATTGTTGTTTGATTTGATAACTCTGTGAGGAATAATCTTCTGTTTCTCAGAGTCACATAATCCATGTTTCTATGATGCATACAATCTGAACATGTGCTCTTACAGTGAGATCTGAACTGTTTTTAATTGAGTATTTTGCATCAATGCCCTGATCACAGCGTCAGGGTTTATTTTGCAAGCTGGATGTACCGCGGCTGGATGTGTAATGATTTTGATTGGTCAATCATGCCATACAGTGGTATGATTTTCCTAATATTCACCATTGTCCATGACAACGCTGAACAGCAAACCAAAGCTACTTTCACATCTTTTGTCCCTAGTGAACAAATACTTAAGCACAATTTATTTGTATGTACTTTAGTATAATTAAATGTATTTGTGACACACTACAAATTAGTTTACATAAAGTCTGTTGAATTGGAACAACTAATTTTGTAAATGTATTTTAGTAATGCAAAAGCAGTGCAGAAGTTCAACTAAAGTTTTTTTTTTAAATGTATTGTTTGTGCTAAAGTGGATCTATTCCAAGTATACTTACGTACATTTTAAATATCTACTCTTGTATTTAAGTTTTGAAATGCAGAATTCACACAGCATAAACTTCAAATGTATTTTGGTGACATTACAACTGCAATTCAATTACACTGTAAGAGTGTTGAACATACATAAATTTTATACTAATAACAAACTGAGGTCATACTATCCCTTACTTTTAGTGACTTTAAAATGCATTGCAATGGCATTCCAAGTAACCTTGAAGTGTGCTAATGGCTAATAAATTAACCTTTATAAATAATGGCACAGCTTAACAAATTGCCTTTTACTAACACCCCCAGCATACCAGTCAACTCAATTATCCAGAGAACATCAGTGGAACATTGGACACAGACATTTGAACACTGGCTGAAGGAAACACTGCGGACTGGATTCGAACCCGGGTCACTGCCACATATGTGAAAGTG